TCTTCGATACAATCGTTAAGGTTCTTAACGATTGTCACGTGGGTCACGTGTTTATTGAATGGACTCGATTTGAGGTAACAATGACGTGAATCAAGAATTATCCAATTGTTATAAAAAGGTTCTGGATCTCTAAACGATACTTTTTCTTGCTTATTCTTACTAAGAAATTGAAGAACTTGAGGAAGGTTTTTACTTTACAAGAATTTGGGTATTTAATTAGGGAACTTATAGTCAACACTTCTACTCGGATTTCGAAGGTCAAGACTCAACAAGGGTTTAGCGATTGTAACGGGATCAGAGTATATTTTTTAATCGAACGTTTTTATGAGGAACAAAGAGATAAGTATAAAACTGCTGGAATAACTTCTACTGTTATGTTTTCGAAGTAATTTATTCAACTGAGTTCTGTCTTTATTTCAAGCGAAAGGAGCTTCGCTTTTATACTTTTTTACATGCTAAGTAATTACAGGTTTTTGAAATAACACTTGGGCGCAAAAGGGACTAAAGGTTCTAAAGGGCAGATAGGTCATATAGGTCATATATGCCTTTAACGTATGCCATAAATGGAAAAAATGTCTCTAATGAAACATATGACTCTGCCATTGGTGGCATAAGTGACTGTAGACGAATATATCTATTGTCGAGACGACAATTAAGGCAATTACTATTTCTAGAGATTTCTATCTCTGTTGAGTTTAACGCTATATACATAACTAATTCCAATAAAAATATCATAATATAAGATAGAATAAAAAATAATAATAATAATTAGGGTGCCGGGAACCCCTCACAACGTACAGTACGTATATCAATTAATTTTAAAATTTTAAAGGAAGACCACCCAATGAAGCTCATTGAAAAAATTTTTACTTTATTCTACAGATTTTAGAATTAAATAAAAATTGGCATGGAATTTCAATAAGTAATTGTCGAGATATCTTCATTTAAATTTTTATTTAATCCATGATTTCAAATGAAGATATCTTGACGACTACTTATTGAAATTCGATGAAATTTTTTTTATTTTAATTCTAAATCTGTAAAATTAAAACAAAAAAATTTTTATCGAATTTTTGCAGGTGGTTGTCGTGATATTTTTGTCAAAGTTGTTAAACCAAAAGTTTATTTTAAATTATGTCATGATTTCAAAGAAAATGTTTTTACACTACCTAATAAAACTTTATGAATTTTTTTTATTTTAATTCTACAAATTAAAAAAATTCATTGAATTTTATTAGATGTTGTCGAGGATTTTTTAAAAATTTTTCTTGCGCTTCTATTTGATAGACATTTGAATTATAACACGGTTTCAAATGAAGATATCTCTTCACCCGATGAAATTCGTTGAATTTTTTTTATTATTTAATTTTACGAAACTTTAAAATTAAACCAAACAACTTCATCGAAATTTTTTAGGTGGTTGTCAAGATAACTTCGTTAAACCTTTGAAAAATTTTTAAAATTAGTTGATGTACTGTTTATTGAATTTCACATGATCATCATGTGGTCATAAATCGAGCACAGATTGTACAGTAATTTCGCTGATTTAATAATGTATCTAAGAGCACAAAGTAATTATCGCTCATGATAAAAAACTAAATCCAATAAGATTCAAAGCACCAATATTCGTAGTATTTTTTCCAAGGTTTTTAATAATGTAGTATTACTTTCGATCTTGGAGTACAATATTTAACCCAAAGATAAACTTTAAAGTCAAAAAAAACTGCTCATTTTATTCTAATAAGTAAAAGATCACTGGTTTAATTTCGAGAATAGATATATGTAACGTTTGCTTGAACTTGAGATTTGAGTCGGTCTTATTACATTTCCACGATAGTCCGCATAAAATAATGTAAAATATTTTTGAAATTCACCAACTAAGCTAAATCTACTAAGTTTTAATAATACATAAAAGAGCATGAAATATTTGTGGCTCATAATCCAAATAAATTTTGTCAATTTTCAACACACTGATTTTCGTAATATTTTTTGTCAATATCCTTAATAGTGTAATAGCACTTTCAATGTTAAAGCCTAACATTCCTCACAAAAAAAGATCTTGGATTTGTGAAAAAAATTGCTCATTTTGTTCTAGTGAGCAGATGATCTCTAGATTAATTTTATAATCAGGATAATTTAAATCAAATTTGTGCAAAGTGCCCACTTTTAATTTTAATAATAAACTAATTATGCGGTCGTCAATGAATTGAGACTAAATGACTTCAAACCAAAAGTTTAAGATTAATCCAATTTTTAGCTTTACTTCCTAAGCTGTATAAATAGAGAACTTTAGAAATCTTGCATGATCGAACGATGCCTTGGAAAATTCCGCATTTATTCCACATTCTTTTAAAACGAATATTTCGTTTTTTCAAGAGATCAAAATTATTTAGAAATGAATAAAGGCCATTTTTCGAATAAAATGAATCTTTCCAAAGAATAGGAATTGACATTTTATATTAATGTCGGTTTACAAGTGCGCATGAGTAGAAGGAATTAATTTCTTTATTTAAATTATTAAATATATTTTCCGTTAGTTCGGGCACATCGCACAGATATTTTTGATGCCATGAATTACTTTTGTGTTGTGCGTATTAAGAAAGAAGGATTTGACCTCTTATCGTTATTATTGCACATACGTACGCATTTGTAATTTTTGACCAATAAAAAATTAAGATCAGAGTAACGTGACAGTCAATACGAAAAGTTGCGTGTGAAATTATGTTGCATTTATTAGTAAACTTCACAAGAAACATTTAATAAACTGCAGAAGGTTGTTCTTAATAGAATTTGGAGCAACTCTTATTCTTTTGTTTCACTTCGACTTTTCGTTACACTGGATCTTAAAATTCGATTGGACAAAATTACAGGGATGGAAAAAATTTCCGTGAATGTGCTAGGGAAGTTTGTAAATGCATATATGGCATTTTCGTTACGTTACGTTATATGTACAATATGCAAATAGGTATATTTGTGCAGTGTACGTAACAGTTTAATAAAGCCCATATAGTTATTTCCAAAATGGTAAAAGAAGCCTAAGCCCAAAAAGGATACTGTAAATGACAAAGCCCTGGCGAAACCTAACGAAATATGCAAAGCAATTTCATAAAAAGTTTTTTGTTCACTGGTCTTCAAGCCATGCAAACTTAAATTAAAAGCATAGAAATAAGGCCACACAAAGTCAATTTTTCGTTTTGCATAACTTGAATTCGAAAATTCCAGTTGGCAGGTTGAATTTATTTATTTATTTTTTTTTCATCGGACCTATCGGATAATTACGATGACACCGAATAAAATTTATGGAAAAATAACTTGCAAAAATGGAATAATTGTAACAATTGGAACTTTAAAAAAAAATAAAAAATTGGGTCGGGCGGGTTATGCAAACCGAAAAATTAACTTTGCGATACGTATAATAATATATCTAAAAACTTTATTTGCTTTGTAATATGTATGATTTTTTTTTATTCATTTTTTTTAAATAAATATTTATTACAGTATTATCAGATTTTTTACAGCAAATTCCACACAAATCACAATTAATCCAACACAATACTAATTTAAAGCTATCTAAATCACTTACCAGTAGCTACGAATTCTTCCTGATCTTGGAACTTTTTGTTTGTAAATACACTAACGAATTTTTTAACAGCAAATTACTATACAAATTATGACTAATCCAATACAAAACTAACTTAGCACTATCCAATTCACTTACTAGCAGGTACGAATTTTTCCTGATATCAGCACTTTTTGTAAATACAGTAAGCGAAATTTTTACAGCAAATTATCATACAAATTAGAACTTTTCCAATACAAAACTATTTTAACATTATCGAAATTATCTATCAGCGGCTACGAATTCTTTTCGGTCTTGGAATTATTCGTCTATAAGTATAGCAATCAAATTTTTAACAGCAAATTACTATACAAACCATGATCAATTCAATACAAAACTAATTTAACACTATCTAATCACTTACCAGCACCTACGAATTCTTCCTGGCATCGGAACTTTTCATCTGTAAGTAATCGAAATTTTTACAATTCAAATCACACAAACCACCAACGGCTACGAATTTTTCCCAGTCTTGAAACTTTTCATTTGTAAGTACAGTAATCAAATTTTTCACGGTGAATTACCATACAACTCACAACTAATTCAATACAAACCTAACTTCTCCAGTCTTGGAACTTTTCGACAGTAAGTATAGAAATCAAATCTTTTAACAGCAATTATCATACAAATCAGGATAATATAACTTACTACTATCGAAATCACTTACCAGCAGCTACGAATTCTTCTTGGTATTGGCACTTTACATTTGTAAGTACAGTGATCGAATTTTTCACAGCAAATTACCATAAAAATCATGATCAATTCAATACAAAACTAACTTAGCACTATCGAAATCACTTACTAGTGGTTATGAATTCTTCCTGGTCTCGGCACTTTTCATCTGTAAGTAATAGAAATTTTCACAGAAAATTACTATACAAATCACAACTAATCCAATACAAATCTAACTTCCCGGTCTTGGAACTTTTCGTCTATAAGTACAGTAATGAATTAGCAAATTACCATAAAATTGTGACTAATCCAATACAAACCTAACTTCCCAGTTTTGGAATTTTCGTCTATAAATACACTAACGAATTTTTTAATAGCAAATTACCATACAAATTATTACTAATTCAATACAAAACTAACTTAGCACTATCGAAATCACTTACCAGCAGCTACAAATTTTTCCTGGTACCAGCACTTTTGTGTAAATACAGTAATTGAGATTTCACAGCAAATTATCATGCAAATTATGATAATGCAATACAAAACTAACTTAACACTATCAAAATCACTACCAGTGGCTATGAGGTCTTGAAACTTTTTATCTGTAAGTATAGTAATTGAATTTTTCACAGCAAATTATCATACAAATCATGACTAATCCAATACAAAACTAACTTAACACTATCTAAATCACTTACCATCGCATCGGCTATGAACTCTTCTTGGTCTCAGCACTTGACATGAAATTATTTGGTCTATCATAAGTAACACTTGAACCAAGCGATGTGGTATATCAGCATCAGAGTTCTGGGAATGAATTGAATGAATTGAATAAATCGTACCATCAGTCTCCATGTTTAATATATAGCGATAGATTATTTTTTAAACCCTAGTACGATCTTGATACAAGCTGAATAACGATTGTTCGCTTGGCTGCTCATTATTATTAATATCAAACACGTTACAAAGTCCAAATTGCTTTAAAAAAATATATCGAATAATGTCTGTCGAGACCTTTGTAGTATTTAAAATGTCTGTAAAGATATTAATATTATATAATCAATAAAATATCTAATATTAAGTAAAGTTATCTACGTTTTTTTTTAATTACTTACAACATTTAGGTAGTCTGAGCCAGACAAAACCATTAGCATTGCGACAGAAAAACATCTTGGACCTGTTAAATATAAGATATGCAGGTTTTCTTTTACCTCCTTTTAAATTTACTTCTGAAAAATCAGTATGAATCATATTTGATTTCTGGAAAGTTCTAATGCTATCATTATTATTGCATTTGGTAGCTTTAAAAATTTCTTCAGATTGTAAATCGGGATCATCTAATGCCCTTTTTTTTGGCTACACTGAATTGATATTATTGGTCTAATAAATGGTATGTAACCATAGAACGTTATTTATAAATATCTTTTATATAACCATCACTATAAACTAATTCATATAACTTACTACTACTTCTGATTGATAATTCTCGTCATTTAGCTCCTCAACAAGAGTTTCTTCTGATAATGTCCTTTCAAAAGTTCCTTGCATACCTTCTTCTATAAAGGTTTCTTCTAATAATGTTCTTTCAAGAATTTTATTAGAAGAAATTTTTTCAGTAGCTTCTTGAGATGAAGTCCAATAAGTATAATCTTTTGGATTAGACAATTTACTAATTGCAATACCTATTTTAAGAAGTGAATAAATTTAATTTAGAACTAAATAATTTGTTACAGTTATAAAGTTTTCCTTTTTACTGGTTACTTGAAGATAAGAATTATTTAAAAAGAGATGCATTACGGTTTTACCAAGCCTACACCATATCACACTATTTTATTTATATACTTTATAGAAGTCATTATTTTCCATTATAATTATAGATTATTTATCTAGAGTAAACCAATTTAATGCTGGTAAACATCTGATATAATGTGTGCATGAATTTTCATTTCCACCCAGTGTTAAATTTTTAAAAATTTTTTTTAGTTTTTTGAGAACATAAATTGATAATTTTATATTCTTATAAACATTTTAATGTTCTTAAAAAAAAAAAAAAAAAAAGAGAAATTATATATTTCTATATATTATATGAGAACATAAATTATAAATTTTATGTTCTTGGTTGGCTCTCAAAAGAGAACATAATCCAAACCCGGATCCCTTTTTCTTTATCTCATTCTATATAATATGGCTTGGATAAAATTTCATTATACCCCTAGTTATAAACTGTTTTAGTCTCTATTCTCAGGGAGAACTAGAAATGCCCTTTTATACGTTCTTGCATGGCCCATGGAAATCTTCCTTACACTAACACACCAGCCCCAACATGCCTTGTCATATCTATTTACATGACAATCTAAATGAAACAAAAAAATTGAAAGTGAGACGAAAGAAGATCCAAAGATGAAACAAACAAGTTCAAAAAAAAAAAAAAGCGAAATAGGAATACTTAGTTGAGTGAAAGAAGCTAGTAGAGAAAAGAAATAAGTAAAGAAAGTATGGGCATAGAAATAAATAAAATAAAATAAAATAAAAAAAAGCAAGCTAACCCAACAAAAAAGCTTACTTAACTGGTCTGTTAAGAACACTAGGTTCAAGAAAATTTCTGTTAGTAAGGAAAGAAGTCCAAGCAAGCTTGCAAGATCTAACACGACATCGTTCTTTACCATGTTGGCACAGAAAGATCTCAACTTCCTGAACTCGAAGATGAAGCTATAAAAGGCGTAATGACAATAAACAGAACAAAATTATTTTGTGTTGTTAAATGAAGAATCATGTTGGTCTGCCTAAGTAAATAAAAACCTACCGAAATGCCTGGAGATATGTAAATCCTGCCTAATAACGAAATGTAAGATCTGGAGAAAGTTAGATCTGAAAATGAGACAAAACATATATAATATAAAAAAAAAAAAAAACCAACACCAAAGAAACTAACCAACATCTCAGGTTCAAGATCGGTAAAAGATCTTGAAGTCCATTTGTTGTGAAAATGTCTGTTTGAAGCCAAGAATGAAGAAACCTTATGCAGAAAAACTCAGGACAACACAAAGAGCAAAAAGACTAAAAGTGGATCATTTAAATATATATTTAAAATGATTATCTAGATATACAAATATTTAATATACTTCAATACAGATACGTATGTACATTAAAATATATCTACAAAATCATGTGCAGCATGTTATTAATAAAAGTAATAGCGATAGCAATAGACAGGTTTATTTGTTTAGAGTTATCTAATTTAATTTTATAATACGTATATAAAATTTATAAAGAATCCGAACATTCTTACATAATAATATATTTAATTAGTCTAAAATAGTCCATCCAGTTTATATCTAGTTGGAACTGGTTTTATTTTTTATATTAGAGAGAATTGGTAAATCGCAGAGATAACGATAACCTTATAGTATATTCATTCATAGACAGACTTTCTTATGATTGGCTGTTTAATTTTACATTATTTATATAGTTAAAGTAATTTTTTAAAACAAATAAAACTACGAAGAATAAAGTATATAGAAAGGTTTATTAGGGTTGTAGGACTCCACTATTAAAATAATCAAAATTCTTTTTTGTTTTAGAGAAGTTAGCATAATAGCGACCTCTTAACGATAGATAGAATTAGGTTCTCTAAAACAAAAAAGAATTTTGATTATTTTTAATAGTGGAGTCCTACAACCCTAATAAACCTTTCTATATACTT